TAACATTTAGTTTTTTTGTGATGGGGGGGAGGGGGGACCTGGTGTCAACATACCTTTGTTGGCTCACTTTGATTGTTCACTCCAATATCCACACCTATGTGATAAACTTCATGCTTCAGTCTTTCCAGTTCCTTTAAAACTGCTTCTTGATGGTTTATAAGCTCTAGAAGTTCACGGTCGTCAATAACCTACAAGAACAAATCGCCTGATTTATGCTACCACTTGTGGTGTCGGCGTTACCACGCTTGTCTTTCAAGCTGGGAGACCTGAGTTCAATCTTTGGTCGAGCCTCTGCTCAAGGTCTTAAAATAACCGAAGAGAAAGAGCTACATTTACGTTGACTTGTTAGACTTCAGCTTCTTCTCGGATTAGAATGTTAAAACCGTAGGTACCTCGAATCCACTATCAATTAGGGAATACCGGTGGGAAGTCCACTCACCAATGAGTGAGAAACTGAATAAACTAAACAAGAGTCTGGTGTGATGACTGTCGCTGGTATAAATTGCGACCTATTAAATTAATGAATACTCAAATTTTATGGGCTGTATTTATATTAATTATTATTAATTACATTAAAAAAGACAGTTACTGTAAATCAAGAGACAACAGATTATTAAAAACTACAGTGCATGCGTATTTTAAGCTTTTTGTACATTACTTAATAAACAAACTAACAGATTTCCATGTACTGTGTACCAATTGCGCGACAGATTCCCCGTTAACACAAAATTGCTTCACAAAAAGCAAAAATATTTTGCACTTATTTAAACGTAATCCTCACCAAATCTTCAGCCGAATCTTCGTGAATATTTTTCATTTGATACATGCACGTTGGATATTCTTCAACGACTTCTGAGCTACCGTAAACCGGTTTCATTTTATACATTGCGCTGGCGGCCATGTTGATTTTGTTCCAGAGAAAAAAATTGAGCAAAATAAAGGAATTTTAGGTTTTTGGAAGGAAATTTGAAGCACACAACAGAAATAAAATGAATAAATGCAAATAGGATGCAAGAATATACAGAAAATATAAAGAATTATCTGAATAAAAAGGTGTAAGAGGGTATTTCAAATACAAAAATGTACAAATATAAATGCCAATTTTGGGTGAAAGACACAGTGCCTTTCCACAAAGCTGAGGGCTATATTTCAGATATGCAATATTAATAATATGAACCTCTTTAAAGCAAAGACAAAAGATATAGTAGAAAAGCAATTATTTATAAAAACAGCAAATTTTAAAATTTTTAAAGTAACTAATGTACGAATATTGCTTTCTAAAATTACAAAAGAAATTTGAGAACTAAAGAAGTTCTACTTTAAGGAAGTGGAAACACTGCTGCCTTCTGTTTTTGAGCAAAAAATCTGATAAACTGAATTTTTTTAACATTTTTCGAGACTTTATGGTCTAAGAACCCATATTTTTCAAAAAGTAAGAGTTCTGAGTTCAATTATCATAAAGAAAACGTATTATTTTGGGGGGTTTAGTAAAAATAATATTGTTTCAGATAAAAGTGTTTGTGGATTTTTTGTACAACGCACTGTGGGTAACCACGTGACAAGTTCTTTCAATCTTTGCTCACGGCCCGCCAAGAAAAAATGGTGGCCGTAAGAATTACGATTTAAAAATAGCAGAAATGAGCTAAAAAAGTGCAGGAAACGTGCCGTGTTGAAGCCTTAGGGACAAAGCGTAGCTCGGAGGGTTATCTTGTAGCGAAATTTGTGAAGAAATATGACAAAGCCGCGAGGAAAAAGCCGCGGCGAGGCGAAAGGCAGGCGAAGCAAGGGAGCGAAGAGCGGGCAAAATGGCGAAACGGCCAATTCTGTTGTGAGTTCACCGTCTTCAAGCGCCGCGAGGAATATCAAAACCCGCAACCAAGGAAAAGCACAGCCTCATAAATACCAGTGTATGATTCAAAGTTCGTCAGATTCTGAAGGCGAGGAGTCGGATTATAGCATTGAATCGACTTCGAGTCGCAACACCGAGGTCAGCCATGTATCGAGTGAGAGCTACTACCAAAATTGTCGCATCAAAACATTCGATTTCATTGAGCTTCCAGAAGTCAAAAAGCTTGTGCTACCGCCATCTTCTGACGATTTGCTTATACCAAATAAACACGTTATGAAAGCACTTGGCGTTTATGAAGTTTTAAGACATTTTGGGAGAATTATCAGACTGTCCCCTTTTAGATTTGAGGATTTTACTGCATCCCTGATTGCAAATGAAAAGTCGATACTCCTCGATCAAGTCTACCTTAATCTTGTTAGGGCTATAATTACGGAGGACGAATCTAACGGTTATAGTTTTGCGGCTCATGACGAGAAAGAAAGCATTAATATATTTTTGTATTATTTGGATACATTCACATGGCCCGAAGTTGTACGAAGTTATGTTACGGCCAATTCCGAATTGGGCGATGCCGCACGGTGTGTTAACAATGGCAATTATCCGTTCGTACCACTTCAACAAAAGATCGAGGTGCTGTGTCGGTTGACAGAACAATTTCTATCGTCCAATGCTGTCCGTGAAGATGTCGTTAACGAAGGAATGTTTCAGTCCGAAGACCACTGTCGGAATTGCTCAAAGATGGGCGACCTCCTCTGTTGTGAATCGTGTCCGGCCGTATTTCACCTGCATTGCCTAAAACCACCTTTGGAAGATGTCCCTCAAGGTGACTGGCTGTGCCCTTTGTGTACAGTTGACAAGGTCCAGGGCGTGACGGATTGTGACTTTCATGGGGATGTGATGAAGAGTTATAGGAATACACCAATTGGCGTTGATAGAATGGGAAGGAAGTACTGGTTTTTGGTGCGACGAGTATTTGTGTAAGTTCCTTTTTTGTTTTATTGGGTTGTTTGATAATAGACATCCCCCCTCTTCGGATGCCCTAGAACATTCCACTATGGATTTTCCCCCTGCTTCTCAGAATGGCAGAAATTTTGTTGGAACAGCATTGTCACAACTTGTTAACAAGCTTGCTACAAACCTGTTGCAAACATATCTTGTTGAGAATTTGTTGGAACAGCATTGTCACAACTTGTTAACAAGCTTGCTACAAAACTGTTGCGAAAAGTCTTGTTGACAAGTTGTTGGAACACCATTGTCACAACTTGTTAACAAGCTTGCTACAAACCTGTTGCAAAACATCTTGTTGACAAGTTGTTGCAGCATCATTCTCACAACTTGTTAACAAGCTTGCTACAAGCCTGTTGAGGAGTCATCTTGTTGACAAGTTTGTTGGAACAGCATTATCACAACTTGTTAACAAGCTTGCTACAAGCCTGTTGAGGAGACATCTTGTTGACAAGTTGTTAGAACAGCATTGTCACAACTTGTTAATAAGCTTGATATTCAAGCCTGTTGCAAACAAATCTTGTTGACATGTTGTCAGAACAGCATTGTCACAACTTGTTGATAAGCTTGCTATTCAAGCCTGTTGCAAAAATGCTGGTTGACAAGTTGTCGGAACAGCATTGTTACAATTTGTTAATAAGCTTGCTACAAACCTTTTCGGGTGACGTCCTTGTTGACAAGAACGTTGCTTCAGGGCTGCAAATAAATATTTTACTTGACAGGACATTTGTCCGATCACTTTAACTTTGGTCGGACATAACTTGAATTTGGCCGGACATATATACGTCACAAGATATATATATAAGTCACGAGACAAGTATGTATAGCCATTCCAGTGGAACGTTAAGTAAAATGCTGGAATGCCTCGTAAATTTTATTCCAAAATGCAAATTGAGTGAATTTGCAATTGGATTTTGTCACAGCTAAAAAATGTATAATGTGACAATATGTTTGTTTGATCAGACCAATGTCCGATCAAAATTACTTTTACTCAGACATTTGCCAAATTTAGTCAGACATTGTCCGATGTCCGGCAGTAATTTGCAGCTCTGTTGCTTGCTTAAGCTCACCAATGTTAATCTGAACCCTTTCTTGTGTTGTTACAGTGAGGGAGAATTTGAAACATATTACTACAGTACACCTTCTCAATTGGACGAACTGTTGCACTACCTTGAACGAGATGGTGGCGAGAATAGGTTGGTTGCTGATATAAAATGTTGGTATGATGAGATTATTCTACAAATGGGAATCACGAAAGAACTCACGGACAATTTCAAAGGTGAGTCGGCACAACAAGCAATTTAGTATTGCTCAATAGTCCCTGTGTAGCAACTCATTTACTCAAAGTATATTTACCACTTTCAAAAGTATATTTACCCTTTAATGACCAACATCTTCTCCTTGGCAAGTACATTTCTGGCATTAGATAGAGTAAAATAACATAAGTGGGTGCATGTGGGCATGTTACTTTCTACACATGTAACAAGATATTTGAAAAAACCCTCTATTTTGTATGTTTTAGAAGATAGAAAATCTGCATTAGATGATGATTTGAGATTTCATACCGACACTGAACCTAAAACAGGAACAGTAACATTTGATGAAAAAGGTAAGATAGGCATTGTAATATTATACAAAAATTGACACAGGTCACAGGCAGACTTTCTGGGGATTTACACCTCTCAAACTTGCAAATTTTATTGGCTCGATACCAATGACATTCAGGGGCGGATGTAGCCTCATCTGCAAGGAGGGGTTTGTATTAATGAGTCGTATTTCCATGATATCGTAGGTGTTCCAAAATTTAATCTGGTTCCAAAGTTGAACTTCATATCGGATGACTCAATCAAAGACAAGATTGTCTCGTGGCAGGAATCAATGGCGGCCTCAACTCCTACAACACAGAGTGAAGCCTCAGATAAACCAGATGGCGACATAAAGAAGGAGGATGGTGATGGTGATAAAGATGTGACGAATTCTAATGCTGATGCTTCTGAAGACAGAAACGAGAGTAAGGCTATTTTATTGTCAATTTTCAGGTCACTTCTCAAAAAGCAATTCAAGTTTATTGTAAATTTGGAATATTGGACGTGGAAATAGGCAATTCCAGCTACAGATTTTGATCTAGGCAAGAAGAACAAAATCCATCACTGCAGCTAGAAAGATCATCTTAAAATTAGTAAAATTGCAAAGTTCAGTTGCGAAATGTTGTAAAATGCGGAAAATGCACCACATTTGGGCCGAAAGTGGTGTATTTTCCCGTGCGTAATACAAATTAATACAAAATTTCGCATGGCTATATTTTCCTCATTTTACTAATTTTAACACGCTCTTTCTAGCTGTGGTGATGGATTTTGTTCTTCTTGCCGAGATCAAAATTTAGTCTATAGCTGGAATCATCCATTGCAAAGCCAACTTCGCAAGTTGCTTGCTGAAGTACCGATGTACTGAACATAAGAACGGAACGGGTTTGAAACGCAACTGGAAGGCAATCAAGAATACGTTCCAAACGCGGCCAGGGTCTCAGCTTGAAGGCTGTGTGTGGCTGTGTTTTTTGCTAGTACTATTTAGTGCCAACGAACGTACTCTTGATAACAATCCCAAAGTTAAAATTCTTAGCCAAGACTCTGTTTCCATCAGATTATTTTTGAGCATAGGGCTTTTAGAACGTTCGACAGTAAATTGACATGCAATTTCATTTTAAATCTAGAATCACAAGCTAAATCTTCCATCGATAAAACAAAGACTCCAACATCTGCGACTGTTGGGAAAAGCGAGAAAGTAGTGACAAGTCAAGTTACTACGGACTCGCCCAGTAAGGTAACCCCCAATGCAGTAGAAGGGATGGATATTGATGCAAAAGCTACTACAGAAAGCAAATCTGGAGGCATGCAATCGAACGAGGCTTCAAGTAGAAACGCCACTGGTGTACCTACTACTACACGTTCGTCTACGGTTGCTTCACAAACTACGGAGGGGAAGAATAGTACCAATCTTAAAAATACCCCAGCTAAACCAGCAACAAATGTGGCCAAAACTGATGTTAAGGCAGTTAGTTCTCAAGTTAAAGCAAACTCGGTAGCGACTAACGTTGGAAGCCCCGCAACTAAAGCATTAACAGTTTCATCCAACAAAGGTGTGCTGTCTGTGGTCACTCCTGTTCAGAATACAGCTGTAGCTGGAAACACTAAACTTGTGAATACTACTATAGGCACAAAATCACAAGTTGTCCAAGCTTCAGGAATACAAGCGAAAAAAACTCCCATTCAGACTGTTATGATTGTGTCGAATGGTAGACCTAAATCTGCAAGCCCTTTGGTTAAAACTGTAGCAAGCCCACAGGTGGTTCAAAATCAAGTTAAAATACCGGGTGCTCTAACTTCAAACGTAGTGGCATGTAATGGTACGACAACTGCCAATGCTTCTAGTGTAACAGCAGTTATGAACAAATCAATGAACCAGAAGACCCAAGAGGCAAAGAAAGAACTGCCATTATTTAAATTGGGCATGGAAAAAAGTTACGAGCAGTATATCAATCAATTCTCGACCAACCAACTTGCAAAGAATAAGCAACACGCGCAAGAGGAACGGGATCGCCGAAGAGGGATATCGACAAAGTTCAACCTGGCCGAGTACAACTATACCGGGTCCATCATTGGCAACATTGATAGGATCTGTTGACCTTAAGGTGCACTATCGTCACCCTCGAGACCTCCATACCGACTGCGTTTATGCATCCCATGTGGCCGGTGCAGCGATCGACGTGGGTGAAAGCTGTTCATATGAGTAAAACCGCTCCTGAATTTGCATCCGTCCTGGCTTTCTTTGAAGGCTTTGTCAAGCCGGTGGTCATGCGTGGGGTATGGAATGACGCCGTTGGCCATCTGGAGTTTTTTAGAAATTTGACCGAGTCCAAAACGCCGTCAACAAAGAAAGCAGTGAAGGAAGAAGAGGAAGTGCCTAAGAATGTAGAGTTGATTGGTAAGTTAGTAGTGACGCATGTAAGACAACGATGTCAGGATGACGGCTATCAATAGAATATACAATAAGGAAATACCGAATGGTTTTCCGAGCTTGATTGCGTGATGCATGCACGAGGGATGTCGCGAGACTTTCGGAAAGCGTATTGTATAATAACTACAGTGAAACACGCAATTTGATTGGTCAATAGCCGTGCAGGATCAGGCTATCCTGCACGAGGAATTAAAAGGCTCTCGCGGGATTTTCGCGGGATTCTCAAAATGTCATTGTTTCACTGTAGTTATTTTATAAAACAATTACCAAAT